GTTCTCTTTGTCAATTTTATATCATACTCTTTTAGAGATCATTTTAAAACATTATATACCCCTCATCTTAAACATGAAAAACATAAATAAACTGTATAGATATTCAGAGTTCCTTTTTTGACTGATTTAAGCATTGTTTAAATTCATAAATTTAGGAATAAATGTTGATTCTAAAGCTGGACATTATTTTCCAAAAACAACCTAATAGTAATGGATGACTATGTCTTTCAAATCTTACCAATGTCAGTTTGTTCAAGAGTTGACTTTTTGATAATATCAGCCTAAGGAGACAATTCCAGAATGAAGTATTGTTGCAAGAGCCTGAAAACCATGTCAAAGTTTGATCCAAGCCATGTGAATGAAATTGAATTCAGAAGCCATTGTTGCTTGTGCTAGCAGAAAATCAGAAGTCATCATGACCAAGGGTTTGATTGTATTGGCCCTGCTCAACTATTGATTATGCTAGATTATGTGCTCTCTCCCAGAAACTGTAATTAAGATCTGTCCTACATGATTGCAGTATAAAATGCAGGTCGGGTCTAGAGATGTTAAAGAAACGCAAATGTGCCTGAATAGACAGCAGGGATTAGCTAAACACGCTAACAGACAATCACCAAGCATAATTCTCTCTGTAGAAAACTAAACTATACAAACATAACAAATTCTTTGAAAAAAAAAACCCCAGAAAATATAGAAATGAATTCAACTGCTGAACTGCAATGTTGTGGTTTCCAAGTTGGCTTCAGCTGTGGTAGTTGTGCAGTTTCCACAAGCATGAAAAGGTTTATATTTGAGTTGGATCATTGATGCTACACACTACTTTGTGACCTGTATGGTCCTGTATTCGAATCAATTTAGCTTAGTTATTATCTGAATAAATTATCTAGTAGTTCAAAATTGAATTTTAATATGAATCTCTATTATGAATCTTTCTTTTTGCTGTACTAAGGTTATCTCCATTGTACTGACCATACCAAGTAGTAATATTTTTTGCTCTGACAGTGGCGAACTGCTTAAGGAAATTTATGAAGCCAGTTCGTTGAAAAACAAAATTTTGTGAAAGAGCAGATTACAACAATAATAATTGGAAAAGTATATTTGAAGACTCACATTTGAAAATAATATTAAAGACTTAACAAAATATGCTGTCATTTCTAATGATATAGGTAAACTAGTATTAATATAAGATTCTAGTGGAGGTTCAGTTTTTTTTATAATTATTATTAAGTAATAAACCAATCCCTCCAGAATTACTATATATTAATATAATAATTGTAAAAATATATACTTAATGACTAACATGTGAAAACCTAGTAATAAGGATTTAACAAAATATGCTGTCATTTTTGACAGCATGGCTAGACTAGTGCATAATATTATCTTAGAAACAAAAATCCAAAGAAGTATCTGCAATGTTTGTCAAGAGTTTGTCAAGAAACTCTAGATACATGGCACCAAACCATGTGTAGCAGCCATGTTCAATGCATGGATGAATAGTAGACTTATAAAGGTGCAAGATTGTTTATTTCTTGTCTGTGAAGAAGTCATGTTTATTATTTTTCCGTTTCCTTCATGTTTAGCATTTCCAATTACAAATAAAACTTTGAAATAAACTGAAAGTCAACAAAAACTCTGCAATGTTCTAATTATCTCCCTTGATAACCCTCTCTAAAAGGAAATACCAGAGGTAAAAATGTGCTTTTAAAAGTTGGGCATAATTTCTATCTGCTAATTTCTATAGCTAAGGTGAATCACACTCAAGAATTTTGAAGCACTGATAAAAATCATAATAAAACAAATATCTGTTTGATTCAAGGTAAACAGGTATCTCTTCTTACAGCGATCTCTGAAAGAGTAAAATGATACTGAATTGTGAGTGGAAAAGGAGGGGGATATACTATCCATAGAAGGAGGAAAATGTTTATTTTTTCTTTGTTTTTGTTGTAAAATGTCAAGCAAAATGTCATTTTTTTAAAAAAACATTTTGATCAAATTAACTGCAAATGTTTTTGGACAGTTACATCAAGAGACATAAACCAAAAGAAGGGAAATTGATAGATTTTATTTAAAAAAACAAAAACAAAACAAATATAATAGTCAATTATTATTTATTTACTGAATAAACTTTATCAAATTTCTGTGTATTTTTGTTGCATTTTCTTTTTCTTTTCTTTTTTGTATATAGTCAAGGAAAGTAAATAGAAAGGACTGAACTTTATTAGACATAATAACTGAAAAAAATGGCAGTAAACAAAAGGGAGAGCAGAAGATGTAAGTTACACATGGGGGATATTAAAATGAAACAAGTGCAGAAATTCAACTCTTTGGGCAGTTGTATAACAGATGATGGAAAATGGGACACACAAATTTGACGATGCATACAAATAGAAAAAGAAACTTTTCAAAAATTGAGTTGGATATTAAAGGGTCAAAAAAGAATATTTGAAATAATGAAAAGAGGGTTGTGATGTCTGCCTTCCTATGTAATTGTGAAAGACAGACAATTTTATCACAAATGGAAAGGAAAAAGACTTGAGAAAACTGAGGTTTGGTTCTACCACTGAAAATACCATGGATGGAACATGTGAGAAATGGGGAAGTACTAAAGAGAATTGGAACTACATGGAAACTGTTGATAGCAATCAGAAATTGTTGGTTGAAATTCTTAGGGCACATAACGAGGAAAGAAGGCTTGGATAATATAACAATTGCATATTAAAGGCAAGAGAAACAGAAGAAAACATTGTAAGAATTCAGTGAGAGAAAAGGAATATTCCATTCAACACTTCTTAGCATTAGCAGTGTTGCTTGGAGAAACTTAAATAGAATGGGATATGAAAGACGAGAACTTCATATTACATGGGTAATATGACATTTGTATATTTATATAAAGATATTGGGTACACGAATGAGAAAATGAAAAAAAAACTTCTAGGGACAAAATGTGTAATTTAGGAAATTTTTTTTCGATTTTATTATTCAATTATCCACTATTAATCTGATATATAGGTTTGTATATCATATCTTCTATATACAAATATACTAGCATGAGGTTAAGCACTAGTAGAAGGTACTAGAATAGATTTGTAGGAGAAAATTAATACACATATGTAATCGAGGGAGATAGACTCATGGAAGAAATGTGGTATATTGCTGCAGGGCTCAAATGACGTGACAAACATATATATATATAAAAATATATAGATATCTTTATTGGTTGAGGTGTGGTGAATGGGTAGAATGAGGGAGAATCACAGAAGTTAGGATTGTGCACACAGGAATTGACGGAAAAAAATCTTTGGTGAACCTCTAGTCAGTCTATCTCCAGATCAAGAATTGGACCAATTTTATAACATTTGGACACTTATACAACATCACATGGCTACACCTTCTTCTGGTATGTCATCTACACAACTTTGTGTGTCCACGCCTCTTCTGGCATGTGTCGACATAACTTCATGTGGCCGCACCTCTTCCTGCATGCACCCAAGCAACTTTGTATGGCCATGCCTCTTCCAGCATGTGCCCATGCAAGCACACATTTCCTTCTGCTCAAGACACCTATGCATCCTGTTTATTTTAGCCACTGGATGCATTTCCTGTTTATGCTATCACCAGTTCCAATTTTCACTCACACACTGATACAACAGAAGTAAGGCCAAAGGTCTTTCCTCAACCAATATTCCATGAATTATCGCATTGTAGGGATAGTCTTTGCTGCTGTTGGTTTTGTTGCTGGCCAAAGGCATTGCTGTTGATGGCCTGGTTAAGATTGCCTGCTGTGGGGTATTTACTTTAAATATCCATAGTTTGAACTGGTATACATTTGAGTGAAGATGTAGATGAAATATTTATTTGGTTGAATTTAATAATTTTAGTTCTTTACAAAACAAAGCTTAGTTTTTGCACAAGGCAGAAGTGTGCAGCAACCAATGAGAATTAAACTCACTACTAATAACAACAAATAATCAACAAGATTGGCTTGTTAACTATTACCTGATGACAAGTAGCTCAGTTTTTAGTTGGGTCTTTGTTGAAGTGTTTGTTCATTTAGTTTAATGATATTAGTGCAATAATGGTCCAATTAAGGTCAGATGTCTTTTCAAATGTTTGATGGCTTCTGTGCATATATAGATGACTTTAAAGGGTCAAGGAAATTGCTCATCGGATAATAAAATGTATAATGTGAGGTTGCTGAAAAGTTCTTAATCTAACCAGGAAGAGATTAAAAAAATTCTGTTATTTGGTGATTTGGTCTGATTTTGTGTCAGGCCGAGAAATTTTCAGCACCCCCTACATAGTTGTGTAAATGTTTACTATAAAAGAAATTGCCTTTTATCTTTTGATTGTTGATGGTAAAAAAAATTGGAAGATACTTTGATTTTTTCTTTTATTTAGTAAGCAAGAATTGAACAAAACTCGAGCAAAGCCTGTTCAAAATCTTAAGAGGGGAAAATAATCTAATTTTAAGAAAAGAAAAAGAAAATCAAGAGGAACTGATGCCTAGCCAAACATCTTTTCTTGTCTTCTTGATGTCATTCATTTTCAAACAATTTTCAGTATTTCAACCTTACAAATTCTGTTAATTTCCACTGTCTGTTAATATATTTGCCCTTTTATGACTAAAATTTCTGATTTCTTTTCTTTCACCTTTCAACTCCAGGTCAAATGACACAATCTAAATAACAAATCCAATTCACTTTTTGCATCAGACATTTTTGCTTGTTTAACCAATAGATACATAAAATATGTTTGTCACAGTTGGGCAGGTAGGTTGACAATAGTGAAAAAATGATATAACCTTGGCAGATGTACTGATAAAAACAAGTGATAAACAACCTTCGTAAATACTTTATTTTCTAGTTTTGATTTGTTTTTACTAGTCAATTGCATAACAAGAAAGAAATATAAAGGGAAGGCAAAATCTTTTTTGTCATCACTACTGCTAAGGAATTGAAATGAGACAAGTTTTACAAGGAGCAAAACGATTACAAAGTCCAATGGAATCATATGAATTTGAAGGTTTGTAACTTTTTTTTTATATATTTATTTTGAGAAGAGTCACAGTCTTGATTTTGTAAGTACATATCCATCTCATACTTACATCTATCACTCATTCTTTTCATGTCTACCTATTTATCTATCACTTGTTCTTTTCATATCTATCTGTTATTCTTTTCATATGTATCACTTATTCTTTTTATATCTATCACTTATTCTTTTTATATCTATCTATCACTTTTTATATCTATCACTTATTCTTTTTATATCTATCTATCACTTATTCTTTTTATATCTATCTATCTATCACTTTTTATATCTATCACTTATTCTTTTTATATCTATCACTTATTCTTTTTATATCTATCACTTGTTCTTTTCATGTCTATGTTATTCTTTTCATATTTATCACTTATTCTTTTCATATCTATCTATCACTTATTCTTTTTATATCTATCTATCACTTATTCTTTTTATATCTATCTATCACTTATTCTTTTCATATCTATCTATCTATCACTTATTCTTTTTATATCTATCTATCTATCACTTATTCTTTTCATATCTATCTATCTATCACTTATTCTTTTTATATCTATCTATCACTTGTTCTTTTTATATCTAGCTATCTATCACATATTCTTTTTATATCTATCACTTATTCTTTTCATATCTATCTATCTATTGTTTATTCTTTTCATAGCTATCACTTATTTTTTTCATATCCATCACATATTCTTTTCCTATCTATCACTTATTCTATTTATATCTATCTCTTATTCTTTTTATATCTATCACTTATTCTTTTTATATCTATCACTTATTCTTTTTATATCTATCTAGCTATCTATCTATCACTTATTCTTTTTATATCTATCACTTATTTTTTTTTATATCTATCACTTATTTTCATATCTATCACTTATTTTCATATCTATCTTATTGCTTATTCTTTTCATAGCTATGACTTATTTTTCATATCCATCACATATTCTTTTCCTATCTATCTATCTATCTATCACTTATTCTTTTCGTATCTACCTACCTACCTCAGTGTGAAGCAATATGTACATAGTCTTACTTGTAATTATTAGCTGAATTTTGATCACAAATTATCACTGTATACTGTCCAATTTATTGGTTTAGAATTCAACTTTCAATTAAGTACATTGACAAGGAAGGAGATTATGTTGAAAAATAAATACTTAATGTGTAAAATAAATGCTTTTTTACATCTATTTGTGTCTATTTCTTCTTTAGTTGTTTTTCTCAGTTTTCTAGTCTTTAGGAATCACTTTGATAATTTTTCCGCATAGAAAAATAATTCTGTTTCTTTCAATGTCAGATGTGATAAAAATGCCAATTATTAAATACAAAAGGACTTTGTTTCTCTAACTAGAAATTTGGTATACATAATTAAGTAGCCTATAGCATTAATCTAAGGAGACTGCAATAAAAACAAAGCAACAATAAAAAGAAAACTACTACAAAAAAATAGGCATCAGGTAATTCTTTCATTGTTCTGCCCTGTGAAGTAAAAATTTAAGTTATATTATCAGCTAGAAAAGTCCTATATTCTACAGAGCATCTTTCATTGTCTTAAACAAATAGCTGTAAAAGTTTTGATCTTAGGCTTAAAATAATCATTTTACTCTTTCAGAGATAGCTGTAAGAAGAGATACCTGTTTACCTTGAATCAAACAGATATTTGTTTTATTATGATTTTTATCAGTGCTTCAAAATTCTTGAGTGTGATTCACCTTAGCTGTCAGATAGAAATTATGCCCAACTTTTTAAAGGCACCTTTTTACCTCTGGTATTTCCTTTTAGAGAGGGTTATCAAGGGAGATAATTAGAACATTGCAGAGTTTTTGTTGACTTTCAGTTTATTTCAAAGTTTTAATTGTAATTGGAAATGCTAAACATGAAGTAAAGGGAAAAATAATAAACATGACTTCTTCACAGACAAGAAATAAACAATCTTGCACCTTTATAAGTCTACTATTCATCCATGCATTGAACATGGCTGCTACACATGGTTTCAACTATTTTTTTTGTCTTCAGTCTGTGTACAGATATTACTTTTTAAAATTATTTTGAATTACTTAATTAAAATTTTGTCTTTTCTTTCCTTACAAGAATTTCCAATTTCATTCATTTCAGGATAGGGAGTTTTATTATCCAAAGTTGTTGGTCTCTAAACGGAATACTTGCATTCATGACACATTTATTGTTTATATTAATTAAACTGAATTTTATGATCAATGATTCAACATATTCAATTTGCAATTTATAAGAAAATATGACAATGTTGAATCATTTTTTGGTTCAAGAGAGGATAACAGGCTGACGCAACTTGAATCTTCATTTTTATATTTTCTAACCAATAGAAAAACTTGCAGCAAATACTAAATTTCCATCTGAACATAACGATAACTAAGTTAAAATCAAAAGTGCATCAAAAAAGCTTTCCAATTTGGAATTTTATCTATCATCAGTCCAATAAAAAGGTACATGGTATTTTTCATCCAATAAAAGTTCTATTTTTTTTTTCAAAAATATAGAAATTTTATTGGATTTCAAGTGTGAAGGAAGTTTTCACCCTTTCTTAATTCCCGGCATTGTAGGAAAATAGAAAAAAAAGATAAATAAAACAAATTTATCACAAGTACAAGTACTTAATTTATATATAAATTTGATCTTTTGAAGCATATAAAATGTCTGAAGTGATTTCTTAAATTTGCATTACCAAAATTACATATCTCCATGTCTTAAAAGTCGTTTTGAAGTGTAAATAAAGAACAATTAATAATTAATTAGTTCGTGTATTGAGTTTGAAACTTACTAAGTGCAGCTTAGTGTTACTTTGTTTAAAAAACAAACAAAAACCCGAAAAAAAACTAACGGGAAAAATACAATAATAGAGGTTATTCATTTTTTTTGATTAATAATCTGAGCTGAAAAAGTGTTTTTCAACTTTGTGTCCGTCACGTAAGTGTTTTTGTTTTAGAGAAAGGTTTAGGCAATGACGTCTTGAAAGAAAACAAAAATGCGAATATGAATAAATTCGTAGGAAGGAAGGAAAAATGTTGGCTGCAAATAAATACATTCAGTAAAAAGCAAGCAAATGAACAAACAAAAAGGCTGTGAAATTCGATCAATAAATAACAACACGACATGATGACGTCATTGTGACGTAATTCTTTTCCCTCCATTTGATGTGAATAATAATTTGCAAAGCGATCTCTGGCCAACTTACAATAAACAAAAAAAAAAAAAAACAAAAAAAAAAGAAGAGAAAAGAATCAGCTGAATGTCGTAAGTAGCTTAACCTGATTCCTTTAAGTGCATGCGTGACGATATTTTTCTGTATCATCAGTCCTAAAAGCAACAAAAAAAGATATGTTTTTATTTAAACGTAAAAAGCAAAACGTAATTCAATTGTAAAAAAAGAGACCTCCTTTTTAGTTTTTAATGACCTTCATCATCAGTTCTACGAAAAATAGTTTTACTTTTCACACGTCATTTGTTTATTGCACATCTTCAGTCATTTATTTACATGGAAAATTATATAACTTATTTGCCAGAGTCTTTCTTTTTACTCCCCACATCTAAACTATTAGGAATGCATGGGTAAAAAAAAAAAATGACTGAAAACAAAAAAAACAACATTTCCCTTTGTATTCAAAACAAGATCAAACGTGATTTTTTTTTAGCTGTGCGAATCAAACGCGATCTTGATAAAAACAACATTTATTACATTATTTTTGTACAATGGTTTAAGTTTAGTCTTTAACTTTCAAAAAAAAAGAGTCTTTGTTGCCACTAAGGAAAACTAGAAAAATGAATATTTTCGAGCGTAATTATCTTCGTCAACACCGTTTCTACATCCGGTGTTGATTCCGTCATAATTTGTATTTATTCGAAACAACAACACTTAAAAATACTTTCCTCGGGCGTGAAATAAACGATTATTTATCTATTATCGAGGTAAGTTATCTCCCCCCTCTAACGAAGCTACATTTTCAACGTTTGTCAGGATGAGAAAACAATTAAAGACAATTTTGAATAATTGTCTTACTGAACAATTTGTTTTATTTTCAAGTGGACATAAAACTTCTATAATGATTTATTCTTTAAATAACAAGTTGGTTTGTTAACTTGAAGTGGCTGCATGGCAAAATTGACTGTCGATAATGAAAAAAAATTTCTTGAAATCTTATCCAAATAATTTGATAATAAAATCCCTTTTGTTGTCAATTATTCCTTTTCTGTTGCCCTTAACCTGTAAGTTTAGTGCAAAAGTTTTTTTTTATTTTTTATAAATTGCATAAACAATGAGGCTTGGTTATTTGTTTTCCGTTTCCCATGACCGTCTTTTTATTAATTAATATTTTTTAAATAAATAATTTTGATTTTTAAATTCTACATTTAAGCTATTTGTTAAGGAATGTAGGATTTTTTTGTTAAGGAATGTGGGATTTTTTATGGTATGAAACTGAATATTTTGCTGTTACACGTTTACATTACACTACCATCAGGTCACCCGATGATGAAATCTCTCTTAAACTGACACAATTCTTGACTCTGCCAAGTGCCAACCAATATTGTCTTAAAAGGTGACGTAGATAGACTTACTGAAGGACAAATGTCTATGATATTTGTTTAAAATGCATTGGAAGTCAATTATTTAATTATTTTGACTTTCTTCAAGAAGGTGTTGAGACGTAGAGGTAAATATTCATGAAAACTGAAAATTTATAACCTTTTCATATTTTTTTTTAAACGAAAGTTAAACAATTTTTTCCGGATTAATCGAAAAGTTTTTTTGTTTTTTTTTAGGTTAATCAAACTAAAAAAAAAAATGAATGAGATTCGATTATCGACTGCTGTCGTCGTTAGCACAAAAATTGCTAATGAATGCATTTTTTTTGATCAAATTACAAAATATACTTTTGTTTCTCGCAAATTTCACCCTGAAAATTTTTTTATGTCGACAAATTTGGTATCGCTGAATAATGGAATAATTTAAATCGATAATTTATAAAGTAAAATTTGTACGAGTTGAAGTTTATCGGCAGTTTAGAGGATTTTCTTTTTTTAAATGTTTAATTTTTCTTTTTATGTTTCGGTTTACAAATTCACGAAAAGAATCTTTTTTGCAGACTGACAAACGTGTTAAAATTGGTTAAGCTATTAATTTTTCCGATGTTCTTTGACACACTTTTTATGAAATTAACTTTTTTCTTTACGACTCTATTCATTTTTGAAAAAAAGAGGTTTTTTTGTTTTTAAACAAGTAGACGAAGTGGTTCGTGTGTGTTTGTGTGGGGTCGATAAACTGGAACCTTCGTGTCAGACATGCAAGTTACAATTTTTAAAGTAACGAGAACCCTGATTTTGTGTCCACATTTTGTTTCGAAAAGTTCGAAAGCTTTAAAAATATTCTATGGCTTAGGGCTTGGAAGTAGGGATTTCTTAATATAAATTTAGTTCTTAGTCGCCTAATGCAACTGACTTGTTTTTATTTTTTAGGCTTCTACACTTTAGTTTACTTACAATTATGACGTAATGCGAAAAAAGTAAAACCTATTCATTAACAGTTCTGTTAGTTAACAACACACAGTAAGGTAGTAAATTTATATTGTTGAACTATACCCTACCATAAAAAAAACAAAAAAACTTTAAGTTAATTTTTAAAATAAATTAACGACAAATTCATTCAATGCACAGCAAAATACGTAAAAAAAAAATAACCAATTTTGGCAATAACGAACTTAAATCTATACCTCGAAGATTCATATGACTTTTTTTTTAGTTGAGGTCGATGTCATCGTTTCAAATACTTTATCTCTTGATTAAAAAAAAATATTAAAATATCATGAACAATTTTGCTAAAAGATGACGCAAATTTGCAAAAATCAATTTTATTTTTATTAGAACGAAAAATTTAGACGAGAAGCAATTTTTTGTTAAAGATTTTTTTGTTTTAGTTTTACGAAGACTAGTAAAAATAAAGAGAACAATTGAACATTTTTTTTTTTTTTTTTTTT